TGTCTCTGTTGCCTAGAATTTCTTTTGCTATTCTAGGTCTCTTCTGGTTCCAAATGAATTTTTGGATTGTTTTCTCTAGTTCTGTGAAATATATTGTTGGAGTTTCAATTGGCATTGCATTAAATCTATATAGTAGTTTTGGAAGTATGGCCATTTTCACTATTTTGATTCTTCCTACCCAGGAACAAGGGATGTCTTTCCATTTTCTTATATCCTCCTCCATCACCTTTTTCAGAGTCCTATAGTTTTCAGTGTAGAGGTCTTTTGCTTCCTTTGTTAGATTGATTCCTAGCTATTTCATTTTTTTGGATTCTATTGTAAAAGGAATTGCTTCCCTAATTTCTCTCTCAGTGAGTCTATTATTTGTATATAAAAAGGCTATTGTTGGGGCCAGGGATTTAGCTCAGTGATTTTGCCGCCTGCTGTGCAAGTTCAAGGGCCTGAGTTCGAACCTCAGTACCAAAAAAAAAAAGGTATTGTTTTTTGAGTGTTGACCTTATATCCAGCTACTCTACTGAATCAGTCAATTAAGTTGAGAAGTCTTTTGGCAGAATATTTTGGGTCTTCTATGTAAAGTATCATATAATCAGCAAATAATGACAGTTTAACTTCTTCCCTGACTATCTTTATTCCTTTTATTTCTTTCTCTTTGCTAATTGCTGTGGCTAATGTTTCCAGAACAATATTGAACAGGAGTGGTGATAGTGGCCAAGGCCCTGCGTTTGTTTTTGTTTTTCAGGACCGGGGAATCAAACTCGGGTCCTTACGCTTTCGAGGCAGGCAGTGGAACCACTGAGCTAAATCCCTGGCCCTTAAGGCCCTGGTTTTAATCCCCAGGACTGAAGAAAAGATAGTTTAGACAGATTTTATTTTATTTATTTTTATTTCTTTGTGCCAGAGATCAAACTCAGGACCTTAGGCTTAAGAGGTAGGCGCAGTGCCACTGAGCTAAACCCCCGGCCCCAGATTTTATTTTTTGATAACTGTTATATAGTTCAGGGTGGGCTCTTTGAACTTATTATGGAGCCCAGGCTGGCCTCCAACTAACTGTAATCCTCCTGCCTCAGCCTCCTGAGTGCTGGAATGACAGGCATGTGCCACCACACCTGGCTAGACATGAATTTTTAAAAAATTACCTAGATAATATTCTTGGTCTTTTTTAGTCTTCTAATTGAAACATTCAGCCACTTTTATTGTAACTTTATAGTTGCTATATTCCTAACGCTTTATTTTGTGCTATTTCTTTCCTACCCTTTCCAATGCCTTTTTTTCCTTTGGTACCAAGGATTGAACTCAGGACCTTGCACTTGCCAGGCAGGCATGGCACCACTGAGCTACATCCCCAGCCACTTAATCCACTTTTTACATGTGGAGTATCTGTGTTTTCTTATTTTTGGAAGATTTATTTGGTTCTTTTTCAAATCAGCTTGATCATTTTGTATATTCTTTTGCTCTCAGCCTTTTTTCTTTACATTGAAAATGAAAAAGGACAAAACAAATCAAAATGAAAGAAAAAGAAATACATTGAAAACATTTTATATGTTGGGCATTCTGATAAATATTTGAGGGTCTGCTTCTGCTGGCTACTGTTTATGCCAGTCTTTCCCCAGTGTTTTATGTTACAATTTGACTATGAGTTGTTATTTCTTGGAATTTTATCAGTGGGATTCTTCTGAGGTTGGGTTAAAAACAAATCTCTCCAGGGGCCAGGAATTTAGCTCAGTGGCGAGGCACCTGGCTCACAAGCGCAAGGTCCTGAATTAGATCCTCAGTACCAAAAAAAAAATCTCTCCAGAGAGGAAATGTTTGTTAGTTGCCTGAGGACTAATCTGACCAATCCTACATCACTTTCAATGTTCAGTTTGGGGTTTTTAGGACAAGCCAGGCATTGTCAATTCAGGATTCAAATTTATTCAGTGGCATATGGTTAAAAAGTTCTCAGGAATGAGGGCCGGGCATGTAGCTCAGTGGTACAGCACCTGCCTAGCAAGCATGAGGCCCTGAGTTTGATTCCCAGTATAAAAATAAATAAATAAATCTCAGGAATGGGCCAGGGATGTAGCTCAATAGTAGAATACTTGCCTACCACCCACGAGGCCCTGGATTTGATTCCCAGCACCAGACCCTCAGAAAAGGTCTCTCCATCCCTTTTTAACCACCATGGAAACAATTCCGCTTGCTGATTCTGGTGAGATGAAGGTGCGGGGAGCGCTTACCCCTAGTTTATATTGAACATGTGAACTCTTTAAGGTCCTATGTGACCCTCATTTGGAGTAACAAAGGAGAAAATACCTTGGAAAACAAAAAACTGAAATTCAGGGGAAACACTGGTAAAGTAAAAAGATAATCTCAGTTAAGAGAAGAAAGTACAGTTTTGAAAAGATACCATAAGTAAAGACTGAACCAAGAGCAAAAAAATTGAAAAATAACAAAAAATATTTAAAAGTTCAGAAAAGCTGACAAGCCAGGCACGGTGGCACATGCCTATAATTCCAGCACTCAGGAGGCTGAGGCAGCAGGAGGATCACTGCAAGTTCAAGATCAGCCTAGCCTATATAGTGAAACCCCATCTTAAAAAAACAAAACATAAAACTGCTAAAACTCAGAAAACAGAACAAAAAGATAAATGTGAGAGAAGAGAAAACAAAATCAGAATCAAGCTTAGCCTCCCTGCAATAAATGGCCTTTTATCAGATGCTAGGCTTAACTGAAGTTGCAGAGAGATCAGAGAAAACTGAGAGGAGGAAATTATCCAACAAACAATTCCAATACAATTTCCTGGTTCTGAAGGATGCACATCTATACTGCACAAGAAATAATGACAAGCGCTGAGGATTTAGCTCAGTGGTTTCGCCACCTGCTGTGTAGTTGCAAGGACCCAACTTTGATCCCCAGTACCAAAAAAAAAATAAATTTAAAAAAAAAAGAAAGAAAGAAATACTGACAAAAAAGTCAGGCATGTCACAACATTCAGAACTTCTGAGAGAAAAGAAGACAACTGGAAGTAGAAATGGTACAGAAGTTTAGAAGACACAGAGAACTGCCTGCAAAATGATTTCCAATTTCAAATTTTATGATCCAAAGTACCACATATATTTGAAGAATTAAAAAAATATTCAGCTGGGTGGGGGATTTAGCTCAGTGGTTTTGCCGCCTGCTGCGCAAGTGCAAGGACCCGAGTTTGATCCCCGGTACCATAAAAAAATATTCAGCCAAGGGGGCCGGGGATTTAGCTCAGCAGCACCGCACCTGCCCCACAAGTGCAATGTCCTGAGTTCAATCCCTGTACCCTGTCCCCCTCAAATATAAATATTCAGCTAAGCAGTCCCATAAAATGTTTACCTCTTAATGTTTTAAAGAAGGTACTGTGGATATGTTTCACCAGACAAGGGTGAACTAAGAAAGATGACCTGGAACCCAGGAATCAGAGATCTACACATGGAGAGGGGCAGTTAATTCTGGAGAGCAAACAGACCTCAAGGAAGCAGGGGATGGAGGGAAGTGTTGCGGGGGAGCAACTGTCAGACTGGGAAGGGGGAGTAATAGCTGATGTATTAAAAAACTAAGTGAGGGCCAAGGATTTAGCTCAGTGGTTCTGCTCCCTGCCTCGTAAGTGCAAAGACCCAAGTTCGAACCCTGGTACCAAAAAAAAAAAAAAAAACCTAAGTGAAAGAAAAAAA